AGCTGGCGGCCCACTGACTTATGCATGTGTGCAGATGTACGTGTGTTTGTGTGTTTCCCCTGACGCATTTAGACAGCATTCCTGCCCTGACATTCTTTTGTCTAAAGCGCTTTGGGATAGGACAGAGGGGAAAAACAAATATCGCTTCTTGACACAAGCCGTCTCTGTCCTGGCCAACAGGAGCGGGGAGTCACTAAGCCTGTAACACTTGGGCAGAACACACACTTTCCACATATGCAGCGCAATGGAAACAGCTCCTACAGTGTGTTTTCCCCCAGACATCAATTCTTAACGAGTACAGCATGATTCAAAGCTGTGCCCAATGCATATTTCAAATAGCACTGCTAAATAGTTGTGCTTTTTTCCCCCTACTTTCCTTCTTTTTTTAATCATCACCTGCAATTGTCATCCATCTTTTCCTTTTCTTGCGCCATCCTGCTACATGAAGAATGGTAGCCCATAAATGCTCAATGTGTGAGGTGCTGCTGAGAGATGACCAGAGGCCATTCAGGTTAGTCGACATTAAAAGATTGCTCCCCCCTTGAGAAATGGATACGATATTGAATTCAGTTACCATACATGCCTCGGGGTCAGATGTTTTGGTACATGCTCAAGCGGTAGCCTGAGAGTTGCTGTGGAAACTTCCGGCTGTTTGATGCTGGGGGTCTGTTGGATGCTACCCCAGAGTCCCTTCCAGTACCCCTAAGGCCTTCCACAGATGCCTGTAAAACGAGGGGGAGAGAGCTTCTGAAGGCCATATGCCTGTCTACTTGGATTGACCATACACCCACACACCGCAAGGCTGTGTTCAGACTGCAGGCATATTGGATTTGCTTCTCAAATCAGATCTTTTGAGATGACTGTCCGCACTGTTTACTAGTGATCAGATCGGATTTGTGTGTCTAGACATCACCAATCTATCTCCATGGGTTGCTGTGGTAACGACGTAGATGTCAGTAACTACATAGCTACGCTGGTGACGCAGATTTCAAACGCGGATGCAGGAGAAATGGAGATGCATCGTCTCGCCCTCCAAACTACTCTGAATTCTCTGGCATAAGCATGAATCTTTGGCACTCTTCTTGAATCCCTTTGCTTCAGTCACATTGGATTTAACATCAGTGTTGTTTTTTGTGTTGCTCATGATGCAAAAGGCACTTAAATCCGGTTTCAGCATCCAAAGCATCCAGACTGAGACGCATCTGTAAAAATCCAGTTGGAGTCGCATTTCAAAACGCCTCCAAATGTGGTTTGCATCCAATTTGCAAAAATTGGATTTCATATGTTTTTTTGATGTCCAGACTATCAAAAATCAATCTGGATGCAATCTGGATATGTCAGTAAATGGATCTGTGCTGGCAGTCTAAACATAGCTAAAGACAAGCACACATCTCTTGGGCAGTAAGTCTTCCATTAACCTTGCTGCAACATGGAAGGTATAAGCTGAGAGCCACTATAAGGAAAACTATGTTCACTGTAGTGCTCCATGGTGTTGGGATTGAAATGCAAAAAGTGCAAAAAGGTAGCACAAATACTGGATGTCCACTTTCCCTAATTATTCATGGAAGTTATAAAAAACATAAATTAAATGTACTTTTTTTATTTTTTTAATCAGTTTGACACCAGCAGACCAATAGAATGTGGTAACAGCAACAAATAAAATGAGATATTAGGGAGTGCTTTGTTTCTTAATGTATATAAAAAAAAAAATTCAGCTTTAAATCTTGCAATGACTATTTTTGTGCAGGTACTTTGGTGTATTTTGCCATTCAACACGTTTTCTGCAGCATTTGTAATTTTTATGCACTCACAACAGACTGTGAAGATAAAATTGCTAATATTTGGGTGATGTTATGTCAGTGTAATGCCCTATTATTTAAAGAAATCTAACTATGAGAAATTATATTCTTGCATGATACTCTTCTAATCCTGATGTCTACAAATATTGTGCCTCCACTGTTGGCCCTTTTATTCTTATGATTGTTTCTTTCTTGCAAATACATCTGTGATTATGATGTTGACCGAGCTCCCTGCAATGTTTCTTGCCACAGACGCCGCAGATGCCGCAGGGGGCATGGTATTGGTCCTGCCTCACAAGGCTCTGGCTCTTGGACGCCCTCACTCACTCGCCCCACACATATGCTACATTTCCTCCACAGCAGTTAGATATTATCGCTCTGGAAAATGGGCGCTCTGGAGCGGCAGTGGCTCATGGGCGAGTGTGCGCGTACGGCCGCCACGTGTGTCTCACTCTGTTTACACTGAATTTGGAGGCTTTCTTAAGTTGTTGTTTTTTCTTTTCTCTCCCGAGTGGAAGAACTGGTTTGATTTGTGAGCTGCTAGTCAGTGAATGTAGGTTGTGTTGCGCTGAGGGCCAATTAGCCCGTCACGCCACAGCACGCGCCATTAGGTGGTGCGTGTTTGGGACTGTGGTGTGGACACGTGTCTGCGTCCCAGCCGCTATTCACTATAGTCAGCACTAGAAACTGGGAAAATGGGGAGGAACTTCATGTCTATCCTGGCACTGCTTGCATTCTACGTCCACATTTTTGACTTTGTCTCTTTTAACCAGAAGGCATTTGAGCGAGCAGTTCTTATGGCATTAGTCTACCAGGGTGCATTGTCACTTCAAATGTAGATTTGTTTTACAAAACCACATTCTTTGTGGGGAAAAAAGTAAGAGTTTAAGAGTCTTTGACAAGAACCAGGTCCAGAATAGCTTTTCCCCCCCTCTCGGATTCTGGACTGAATTAATTTCCATCCCTTTTGTCTAATTCAGCCTCCTTCAACAACAGGGGTGGGGAGACGCTCACTGTCCAAGCCTTGATTTATTTATCCAGATCAAGACAAAGGGCAGCGCTTCGGCTATTTAGACGTATCTGTCTTGAAGGCTTTAAATGATTCTGAATGGTCCCGATTACGAAGCCTCTTCAACTGGAGAGCGGCAATTTGTATTGACTGGCCGCAACAGAGCAGAATAATGAAAGCTATACACCTGCCCTGAGCTTCCCCATGCCAGAGCCGATGAGCTGCCGGCACCTTGTACATGCAGAAAGGCAGGCTAATTAAAAGGAACAGGCCATTCAGTGCTTTAATTACAAACCAGTGGGGCATTCTCCAATAGGGAGCAATCATGGTCACCAGAGCAATGTGCAGCTTTCTTAATTCTTGTTGAGCTGTCCATAATTTGTTAATCTTTAAGTTTGATTAATTACTTACTCTTTTTTTATTTATCCAGTGCTGGGGTGAAGTGGCACAACTAGTACAACTCACCCAGTAGAACAAAAGTCTGTGCTGTGTGCCTGGTGTAACTTAATACCCAGCACAACCAGACACATACACTCACACACACACACACGCGCAAAAACACTTGTGTTCTGGTACAAGGACGGTTTGACTTACGGCGTGTTTCATTTGTATCCCAACAAAGGTCCCCACCAGCTCTTATTAAGTGACTATTTGGAAAAGAACAAGCTGTAAAGAATGCAGGATCTTTCTACAGCAACACATCTGTGCAGAACTCGTGGGCTCTCTGTGCTGTGGAAACTATTAAAAGGGATTGGATCAGACTCTCTTTCTCTCCCCGTTCTCCTCAGTCCATTATTTTTGTACTCCCCTAATCTTGGGCATCTTGCATCATATCCATGTGTCCATTAATCACCGTTTTTGAAAAAAGAGAAAAAAAAACAAAAGGAGGAGTACATGCTGGGGAGAATATCTTGTGCAGAGATGGAGTATTAGGTGTCTTTGGTTTGGTACTGTGCTTAGTCTAACTAGCATCTGTCATAAATATGAAATGGGGCTGTTCAAATCAGGGGTGCGTTTCAGTTTTCAGTGCAGTCTGGTGTCATTAAACCAGACCCATTGCTATCCAGAATATTCAGACAGGAAGTTTTTGTGGTGGCGTTCCTGACGACCTTCAGTGCGTGAAAAGCCATCAGCTGTAATGGCCCTTGCTAAGGGGACTCAGACCAGCCACCCCCTGAAGCGCCACAGCCCAAGGCTATTCCATCCATTGCACCCTGCCTGCAGAAGAAACACACAAATATGAGGCTGTGAAAGACAGAAAAAAAGAAGCTGCCTGAGGTATCAACTGCACATGCATCAGGGACGTGGCAGTGCATTTTATTTGGAAAAGCAGCAAACCACCATCACATCAGAGTAGAGCTGTGCCAATACTGAGATTACTTGTTAGACTGTAATTCTATTTTTCATAATTTGACATGCATTTTTGCACATTGCTGTAGTTCAGTCAGTGTGGATTGACACCTGTAGATGGCAATAGCTGCGAATGCCAAGACAATTTTAAAATTCCCCCAATTTAGTCGTTGTCAATTCCACTAACTAGGTCTCCATATCACTTGGGGCCTAGTACATGCTTCCTCTTATACATATGATGCCATCCACCAAACCTTTTCAAACTGCTGCTAACACATCACTTGACAGCTCAATCCGCTTAGAGGAGAATACTTATGCTGATAGATTCCCCCTTTGGCCTACTTCATGCAGAGCAATGAGGAAGAGAGGAAGGGCCATACTGCCCAACTCTTAGATTGTTGTAATCTTCTATAGCGTATTTGCTGTACATTAACCATGATCGAAGTTTGATCAGCCCCTGAAGCAGTTGGATGGGTGGACACATTTTTGAATCTATTAAGAAACATTGGGTTTAACAGATTACTATTATTTCAAATTATGAGAATTAACCATTGTGATCCAATTGCGAAATTGCGATGCATCGAATCATGCATCAAGAGGGAGAGGCAAAAGATGTAAGTGATGGAGTTTTATGATCCTGTGAGCAAAAGCCCTCAAATGATAAGGTTTGTCTTTATCAGGCTTTAACATCCAGTGACTCTGCTGAGTCTTCTTTACTGATCTCATACAGATGCTCTACACCAGACAACACACACACACACGAACAAACGAGTACAATACTATGGATTATAATTCTGATGTTGCATCTCTCATATTTTTTTCATTCCTTTGTTCCCCTCTAGCTGGTTTCCGGAGGAGTTTCCGACTAAGCAGAAGAGACAAGAAGACGAATAAGTCTATGTATGAATGTAAAAAGAGTGAGCAGTATGACACTGCTGACGTCCCAACTTACGAGGAAGTGGCCCGTTCTCGCAAAGGACACGGAGCCAAACATAGACTCGTCATTTTGGTTGGTAAGTGCTGTGTTTGTATGCGTCTTTCAGTGTTATTTTAACAGTTAATGTAATCTTAAACTATAAAACCTCCCTTTTACAGTCCGCACTAGGACATCAATAATCAATTGGTTGGTTTCTGTACCTTTTTTTTTTTATATGCATATTTGCTTAGCGCTATGCTGAGGACATGCCCATCTGGGACGCCCTACCACACACTAGCCCATATCACAATCAGGCTTTATTGGCCAAGGAATTTGTCTTTGGTTACACAGTAGCTTATGGGTACACAGTAGCACATGGTGACTGACAGTAGAAGCTTCACACCTGTACATTATCATAGACATCCATCCCTTCAGTTCCACCATGCATACACACAGTCACACAATCATGCAAACATCTATACTTGTAGGAATTCATGCAGATAGACATTTGAAACATGTTTAAAGTGCAAAATACAGAGGCCGGATAGGAGGTAACAATACTAAATAAGATTTTAAAAAATTAATAAAATAAGGATTAAGTACGAAAACACTTTGTCAAGAAGTACAACACTGCTTATGTGCAACAGCTGATCATGAGTGTAATGTCATGAGGAAGGACATTTTTCTGCAGTCTGATGGCTGAAGTGGCTGACTGAGGGGAGGAGCTGAAACGGGGGATGACCTGTGTGTGATGGGTCAGCAATGATTTTCTCTGCATTCTTTCTAGTTGTGGAGGTGTGTGGATTAAGCAGGGAGGGAAAATTGATACCAGTGGTGTTTTCTGCACACTTGATTTGTTCTGCAATTTGGGAAGGTCATGTTTGGTGGCAGAGCTGTGCCAGACTATGGTGGAGGTGGTGATGACAGATTGTGAACCAGCAGCTTTTGAGGCAGGTGGAACAACTTCAGCTGCCACAAGAAGTACGTTCTCTCCTGGGCTTTCTTTGTGATGGAGTGGGAGTTGGTGGCCCACTTCAGGTCCCTGGTAGTTGTTGTTTCCAAGAACTTGAAAGACTCCACAGTCTTGCCTAGGATGGTGAGGACTGGCAGGGGTTGGGGCTTCTCCTAAAGTCTGTTGTCGTTTCCACACAGTCAACACCAAGTGACTTCTCCAGAGGACTGGCTATTCAACCACACATCTGTAAGCAGACTCCTAACTGTCTCTTGACTAAGGGGTATATGGAGGTGCACTCATTAGTGCACATGTTGGAGAGCACACTGATTGTTCGAGTGCCTGCTGAGAATTTTCCCAGCCTCATCTGCTGCTTTCTGCCTGTGAGGAATCTCGTAATCCACTGTCAGGTGGAAGCAGGTACACTAGATTGGGAGAGTTGAATGTGGAGCAATGCTGGAAAAATAGTATTAAATGCAGAGCTGACACTTAAAAACAGGTTTTTTGCGTGTCCTTGACTGGTCAAGGTATTGAAGGATAAGATGAAGTCCCATGTTCACTGCATCATCCACAGACCTTTTTGGCCTAATGTGCGCACTGCAGGGGGTTCAGTGGGAGGTTTGTGATGTCCTTTGGTTGTGCAACAACCAGTCCTTCAGGGGATTTCATGGCTACAGAGGTTAGGGCGATGGGTCTTTAGTCATTCAGCCCTGTGACGGCAGTTTTTCATTTACAAGGCTATATAAGTATGTTAGTAGGATAAAAATATTAATAACTATAAGTTTACAGGCGCAAGTTATGTCTTTAGAGCAGTGGTCACCAAACCTTCTCCTGGAGATCTACTTTCCTGCATAGTTTAGTTCTAACCTGCTTCTTATATTTCCTTATCTAAGACTAATGCATCTGATCCAGGCAGTCAAGGGCTGTGTCTACAACTGCATTCTGCTCTAGTATACATACTTATAAATGCACTTCTATTGTTGATGTGCCATTTTTGACATTCAATTTAGTATCGTAGTGTGCAGTTAAGGATGTGGTCAGGGACCTCTGAAAAAGTTAATTAGCTGGAGCAGGTGTGTCAGATTGTGAAACTAGACTCTACAGTAAGGTAGATCTCCAGAACCAGGGTCGGTAATCATTGCTTTAGTGCATCCCTGCTGCACTTTTCTTTGAGTATGAGCGACATATTTTTCCCATGTGAATCTATATCAGGCCAACGGATGAATGTTCATTTTTCTTTTAATCAAAAACTAAACTCACATACATATATATAAAAAATAACGCTGCCTGGCTCAGTTTTTATTATGACATCTTTGTTAGTACTGTAAAAAATGATGATTTAGATATATTTCTGAGCCATTTTGCTCTTTTGGGTCACACTACAGCCAACATGCTCTGGCACAAGAGTAACAGTGAACTAAAGTATTTTATGACTAACTGAAGAAATTGTAACCACTGGCAATTGAGATAAAATACAACAGCTAGACTTGTGACATCTTTTACTCGAATACCGACTGGTGAAATGACCAGAATGCACTTTTCTAAGATACAGCTATTTCTTCTTACTATATTTCAGTAAGGTTTAATATAGCTTAATGACCGTGAAGTGCTCCCCTATAATCTAAGGGCTAATCTGTAAATATGAGTGTATGTAAATATTAGTTGAATCTCTAGTGTAACTGCAACTAGGCATTCTTTCAAACTAAGAGAAAGCAAATTCAGCTGTTTCAAGCTTGCAGCTTATTTCGTTCCTTAACTGAAAAGTAACAGTGAGAAAATTCCAATTTCAGAAGACTGTATGTCCCTGGATATTTGGACTGTAGTTTCTGTGCCTGCTTTGGGGGTCACACTTAGCTGTGGGCCTTTTAAGAGCTCTGGAGCTTAAAGCTCTGGCTGGATATTCATTCCTCTTTCCGTGGCACTTCATCTGTGTCACCCTCATTCAGAAGAGACGTTTTTCTTGCTGATATTATTCACTAAAGAATTGTTAACACATAGTTCCAAGGGAGTGGCGTAGGTGAGACCCCTGTGAGAAATGGGTTTTACAAAGTGCTAAAGTCTTGACAAAGAATTTGTGAAAAAATTGATTCACATAAAAAAAAGAGTATTGTAAACCAAAAGTGAGTGTAAGTGTTTCATAAGAAGAATTTTACAGATGATGTATGTACATGTGTATCAACCAGATTGTATTACATTGAGCATGCAGTCCAAAGGCTTATGGTTCAAATGGCACCAAGTTGGAAGTTGCAAAGTGCGACAGCAGTTTTAATTAGATTTCAACAAAGGCCTTTTAATTGCTAATTCTATTATATTAACCTCCACTCAGGTCACTCAAGGGAAAAAAAATAAAATAAAAAAAACAGCCGTTCATGCATGCTCTTTTCCCAGACTAATGTCCCAATTTATCACTGTGCACATCATGAAGTACTTTTCAACACTGACAATTAATATTGCCCATGTCCAAGGGACCATTTCATCCTTCATTTAGCTCATTTGTGAGAGGTTGCACTGGGTCATCGTTCAGTGTAGCACAACTAGGCCTTGGTTTGGTGAATGAAATGCAGCGTATGGGTTCCGTCAAAAGATGTTTATGTGTGCATGCACGTGTGGTCATCTGTTTTATTAGCCAATCTTTTCCACGACTGCTTGTCAAGATGCCCCAGCCATGCAATTAAGACTCTATTTTGCGGTCAAACTAATGCAAATATTTTCAATTAACTTTCAGAATTTGGAGGACGGCGTCATGGACAATATCAGAGTTGACGAAGCAAAAAGCCCAGAGTCAGTCTGCTGTGTGTTTGCTCTGTTTTCTTTTCGGGTTGTTTTTCTGTCCCCTGAGGTGAAGTTTTGGTTTCCCTGCTCTGTATTTTGTTCTGTCTTCCCCTCTTTATTGCTCTTTCTTTTCGTCTTGCATTTTATGATGTTCCTTTGTTTTATTTAATAATGAATGCATCTCTCTTTCTCTCTCACTTGCTCACTCATACAGTAAGTAGACTCTAAAATACATTATTTTTGAAGTGAGACCTATTTAATAACTAACTTCCTCTGTTTTTTCATCTCGCTCTCTTTCTCTGCCCTCTCTCAATCTCTCCTCTTTCTTTGTTCTGGCGTTCATTTCCAACATGATGTCGACTCTGGGCTTTTCTTGGCTCTTGCTTGTCTTTTTTCCCCTCCATTTTTAAGTTTGAATGAAACTCATTCATCTAGACCGTATCCTCTCGCATTAAACATTCACTGTCCCAATAGGTGTTTACCGCTGACTGTGGACAACAGGGTTAAATAAAATCACCTCTGAACAAAGTGTCCTTATTCCCCTCTGCTTTCCCGAACACGAATGACCCGTGGTCAGAGGATCCATTTCAAACAACTTTCCAGACGAATCAAGATCTTATCTGTTTGGATACATATTAATCAAAGAGCCAACATAAATACATTTTACATATGCACGTCTTGGGGAGACCACCGTAGTGTTTTAACTGAAACCTGATTATTCAACAGGGCAAATGATCTGTTTTGTTCTACATGTTTGATTTAAGGTGGAGGAGATTTGGGCTGATGTGACTCCTATTAGTGGTGGTAATAACACAGGGCAAAAAATTGTACAAGGTCTGGAACAGTCAGTTAAGAAAAGATGAGGAAGAAAAGTGAAGTGATTTTGGCTTTTGTAACACTGTATCCCTAGAGATCTATACCACTGTTTCGTCCTGAGCTATTTCCGTGTTTGCACTTATTACAGTGTTTGGGCTGAATCAAAAAGGTATCTGTGAGCAGATCTTTATGTGCAAGTTCTGTAGCTGTTCTATGGGGCCATATCGAGGAGCCCTCCAGTCTGGGACACCTCACTTCCCTGCTTGGGAAAGAACAGTCAGAATAGTTCTGTTTTCTTTCTCTGTCTCAATTCTGATATATTGCCTCTGACTAATACATCTCTGCTGACCTTACCTCTAACAAACATGTTGGAAGTAAGAGTGCATAATATAATGCACAATATATAATTATCATCAGTGAAGTATTGGAAATCCAACAGCTAATTGACAGTTTCTAATGTCACGTCCTGTTTCCCGTAGTTCCGGTATCCATCAGACTTTCACTTCAGGCTCTGCGGTCATGTCCGTACATTTGTGTTAACAACCTAAAACGTTCAG